GGAAGTATTTTAACCAGTGAGACCAATTTGTTGTAACGTAGTGGTTAATTAACTTTTATTTTCGTTTTCAGATTGGACAGTATATGGATGAAAATCAGAGAAAAGAGCTTCAAAATGCTTCTTATTTTGAAAATTATGGAAACACCAATTTTTCCTCCTTTATGTTTGAGCAAATTCGGAATTTTCAGCTCAATTGTCGGTACAACAAACAGCAGGAAGAAGAAGAGGTTGAAGAAGATGAGGACGATGAAGAAGAGGACGTTGATGAAGAAGAAGAAGATAGAGAAGAGAACACCGCAAATAAATCAAAAATATCAAATGAAAAAAAGCAGCAGTTGGAAAATGAATTTGTCGTACAGATGAAGGAAAACTTTCTTTCTGGAAAAGACAAAGATCACTTTGATTACAGCTCTGTGGACGACAATGAGGACTATGACATGTCGAGAGTGAGTGAACAAGACGCTCAAGATAGGTACTTTGACGAGTCTGATTGACCAGATAGTAGTAAATTTATTTTTTATCAATTACAAATAAAACAAACAACAATAGATAAATTGATTTGGTAACAGCAACGATTTTCAACGATTGCAGCACTTTCGGGATTGCAGTGGACAACAGTGTTAATTGACTAACAAGTACGGGGAAAACAGGTGATGAATACATAAAGAAATATAGCTGCTAAACATATCTCTCAAGGCACGACGTTAGGACGGAATTTAGGAAAGTACAGGCCAAACTTGGATTCCATTCCTGAAAAAGATACAATTATGCATTTGATCAAGTTTACAAATTCCGCCTTTAGCTTACCTGTGAAAGTGCCCAGAGCAAGTTGGTAGCCTCCAATGTGATTAGGATTGGCAGATTTGGTTTCAATTGCCTTAGGAGCAGCTGTCTCCGAGCCAGTAGGTCTTCGACCACCGAAATCAATGTAGAAAGCGCGTTGTAAAATTTCATAAGTGAGCAGAGTGAAGCCAAACTGATTCGATTACAATTAATTCATTAATTAGTTTATTTCTGTAAAACTTAATCAACTTTAATCGTACCTGTGGGGCTGACCTAAAAACGCGAGCTGGACCGCCCTTCCAAAAAGCAGAAAATCCTTCTTCTTTCATAATTTTTCTAGTAGCATCTATAAATAGCAAATGCTGCAATCAATATCGGTGTATAGAATTCTTTAAAGTGGTCTTACCAATGACTCCCGAGTAGGTGGTCTGGCCTGCGCGGGCTGCAACTTGCAACCTAGTCTTAATGACATCCGCCGGTGTAACCTAAAGAATCGTGTATCAAGTAATAGCTTATTGATGATGTTACCGAACTTTTTCCAATCTGAAATCTTACCATGTAGGCCGCAGGAACGCCTGAAAGAGAGCACCAAACACCGAACATCATTAGTAATAGAGCTTTTAAGTTAATGGTGTGTTGATGATCCTACTCACCGGCAATGACAGCAGATAAAAGCAGTGTTCCAGGACTGTTGTGGCCATCTTGATCGGCAAACTTTAGTTTACAGTGAGCGTAAGTGGGGAAGTAAATCGCCGAAAAGGGAATATCTCGCAGAAAGCATGCTTTCGATCCCTAGATATAGTTCATATGCAAATTAAATACTTTCCACAATAAGATTGGTCTCTTGAGACGTACCTTGTATAGGCCTCTCAGTCCCAGTTCGCGTATGACGCCAAGTGCCGACACTTTTGGACCAGTGGTAATCTCACCAGCTACTTGTAAGCGGATCTTAACTGCATAAAAAAGCCATTAGAATGTCTGTTGTAAAGTCATCAGCTATTCATTAGCATTACCAATCTCGAGGGGATTGGTGAACATGACTTGCGAAGCGCCAGCCTAGAGACATTGAGAAGGAACATGTCAATTGAAAATAAAATGTCTGGTTGAGAATCAATTGCTAACCGTGCCACCAGCAATGCATTCGTGCAAGAAGGTGATCTCGCCCTTGTCGGATGTCAGCTTGTCTCGCACAAAATCGTTCATCGTCAGCTTGATGGCCTTCTCCGGACAGACGCCGACCAGTTGCGGCAGGAGGCCACTGTACAGGCCAAAGATACCTTCGTGTCGAATGACCTTCTTGGCGCAGTCCCAGCTGTTTCGGTACATCAGTTCACCGATAATGGAGCCACTACGTTGATTTTGCATACGGGTTTTAACCTAAAAGTTATTTGTAAGGTTAATAGCTTTAAAAAACTAAATTGCTTCTTACCAAGTCAATGGGGTAGACAACAGTAGCACCAGTGGCACCGGCAATAGAGCCCAGTGCAAAACGATAAACGCTTTCCAAAATTTGAATGGAAACACTTCGATCTCCTGACTCGTGATCTTTCTTTCCCGCCTTTTTCACTTCAGCAATTGGCCTTGCCAGGTACTTCGTGGGCCGATTAGGGGCAATGCGCTCCAAGTCATCGTAGTTGATGCGACCAGTTGACTGGTGAATCGTGCCGGCAAGTTGAAAGAGAATGTCAATTTCAAGCGGTGTGATTTGCGACATTTGCTGGCTGGCGTAGAGCAACTCCTCTCTGGTCATTTCCAGGTGAAGATTACCCTTACTGAAGGAGAGGTACAGACGCTTGACAAGTTCCATGTTGTTTAGAAGAGTGTTAAAAGCAATAAAATAGGGGAAGGTAACTTGGTGGCCACCGGTACCGGCACCAGCAACTGCCACCAGATTTCGCCGAACATCATCAGACAATAGATGACTTTTGCAGTTGATCATAATGTCGTTAAAGTCCATAGCCGAGATGACACCCTGTTGTTTGGTGTCGCGCAACTTAAACGCCTGTACGGCATGCTCTTCGTGAAAGTCATGAAGTACTTGGCTGAATTCAGCAAAGTTGACCGTGCGTTTGTGATTTTCACCAAAGTGGAGTCGCACAAAATCCGACTTGAAGTCGAAGGGAATCCGGCCGTGTAGGGTTGTCATCTTGATGATGTCTTCAAACTCGTCAAATGTAACAAACCCGCTGCCGTTGGTATCAAAAAGTTGAAAGGCAGCTCGGTAGATTGCATCTGGCTGACAGAGAACAGCCTCAAAAGCTTCAAATTCTTGATAAGAAATGAGTCTATAAATGTAAACAAAACAATTTTGTTTTTAGCAAGCAGAGCTTTCAAGCATCCAAAAATGTCATACCCATCTTTTGATGTGTCCAAAATGTTGCCCAGAAGTTTAACAGTGTTTGGGTTGTAATCCGGTTCATTGTACAGGCCAAGGTATCCGCGGATAAAATCTTCATTTGTCATGTACCGTTGATCGGCTTTCTCTACTGAGGCGAATCTGTTAAACACCTCGCGGAGCTTATCTGGGTCAGCCCTCCGAATGCCGGACTAAACACACAAAGAGAGAAACAATGCAAAACACATGTTAGCACACATGACAAGGAAGTATGTTTAGATAAAAAGTTCACCTACCTCAAGGCACGATGCATTTTTTAGCAGTTTCCCCAACAGCCGTCTTCTCAAGGTCTTGGTGTCATTGTCATTGGCGTGGTTTGCTGCCAAGTAAAAGTATAAAGTTATGCAAAGCTATTACAGGTGTACAAAAACACAAAACTATCAACGGGACTTCTTTATCCGTAANAGCTTATCTGGGTCAGCCCTCCGAATGCCGGACTAAACACACAAAGAGAGAAACAATGCAAAACACATGTTAGCACACATGACAAGGAAGTATGTTTAGATAAAAAGTTCACCTACCTCAAGGCACGATGCATTTTTTAGCAGTTTCCCCAACAGCCGTCTTCTCAAGGTCTTGGTGTCATTGTCATTGGCGTGGTTTGCTGCCAAGTAAAAGTATAAAGTTATGCAAAGCTATTACAGGTGTACAAAAACACAAAACTATCAACGGGACTTCTTTATCCGTAATTACATCAAACTTTTGTGTGTGTGTTTACTAATTGCCTGTCCACTGTTTGTCTTGTAGGAAGTCTCGCAGTGGCCGGCATCGATGTTGATCGATAAGGTCGTGTGAATAATAAGGTAGGAGACACAGCGTACATCGACAGTAGAAAGTTATAGTAGGGAAAAGTACCTTGAAAGATGGTGGCAAGTGAGAGCATGATGAGAGTCTGCCGAAGAGAGGAACAAAAAAAATTCGGTCAAATGCTGGCGAGAAAGATGTGAGGAAGATGTGACAACAGAAAGAAGTCAGCGGCAGTGAGAAAGGGAAAGAACCAGCAGTGTGAGGGCACAAATACCGGGCGAGGGGGTCGTTCGGGGAGAAGACGACGGGCAGAGAACTTACAGAAGAGAAGCAACCAGTTGAAGTGGCTGAAAGGGAGCCCGGCGAGGGTAACAGCAGACGGCAAACGTGATCAGCTGACGGAATCGGGTTGGAGGAAAGGGCACTGTGAAAGTTACCGAAACGTGCACAGGGCAAACTTTAGGGGAGAGCGCAAGCAGCTGCAGGGCAGTCTCCCTTCAGTCCATTCGCTGCACTTTCAATGTTAGCGCCTATTTCTCGGGTAATACTCGCAGTAAAACTGCAGTTTTACTTTTGTTTGAAAGATAAATGTATTCTCTACAATTTCTATTGAAAGCATTTTGGAAATTAGGCTCATTTTTCCAACTATCCAGGTCAAAACGCTGAAAATGCTTGTAATTTTTTTCGGTTTTGTTTTCAAACTGACTTTTCAAATTAGCTACAAGGTATTTTTGAAATACCTTTATATTCTTTGTTAACCCCACGTTTATCTTTGTTTTCAAATAAAGTTCACAATTCTGTATGCTGTAAACAGCAAAAATTTAGACATCTTATGAAGCTAAACAGTGCCGGTAGAGAATACATTGGCGAGTGGCTTTCCAGCAGGACACTAGAAGGAGCCCCTTCAGTGGCATCTTTTGCAGGTGGCAACAGTAGAGCAGCATGTCCTCTACCGCTAGCATGTGACAACCAGCTGACAGTGCATTATAAGGTGACCTAAGCTATTGAGTAATCAGTGGGCGCTCGCTGAAAAGGCGCCAACGTGACTCGAGCTACTACTAAATGATGCCACCGGACACCGAACACTCTGCAACGCTGAAGATTATTACACTCTGCTCTTTTTATTGATTGTCTCTGATTGATTTACAGTGATGTTTCTTATCTACTCATTCAGTCAGTCAAACCAAACAAACGTTTTGATAGAATGTGCGTCCATTGTGGTTCGAATTGCACCGTACTTGGGGTCGTTAATCTGCAGTGGAATCTGCGACTGGTAGCGATTGAGGACCACGGCCACTGTTGACTTGGACGGGGTAGAGAAGACGGTCACCTCAAGCGACTCCTTGTTCTGTGAGATGCCCAGTCGCACCGACCCTGGCTCAAGGAATCGAGTAAAGTGCCCCAGTGCGTAGTACATTGGATTCTTGTAGTACTCCTGAGCAGTGGCGTTCACTAGAATGGGAGAGTCTACCTTGTTTTGAACCCAATTCTGAAAATAGAAAGCAAAGTTAGGTGAATTGAGAGGTCAATGACTATGCGGCAACAATTACCGGTCCGCCAGTGGTGTCTAGCGCCAGGTTCCAGTCTAGCCAGGACGTCGTGTGGTGCTGCAAGTCGTGGATGATGTCATAGGCGTAGCTTTCCGCTCTGGTCCAACTGCCCATTTCCACTTGGTTACGGTCAAACGGACTTGATCCGATGCATGCTTCGCTTGAAATTAGGAAAAAATCCGGATATTTTTCTAGAAAAAAAGTATGATTGACATTAAATCCAAATTATGCGAAACTCTTACCATGAATCTCATCAAGAAGCTCTGGTGGACTAAACGGATTCATGTACCAGTGGTAAGCGATGCCCGAGACATATTGTTTTGCTTCCTCTCGGCTGAGAATGGTGTCTGCCCAGTGCTTGATCAGTGTTCGCTGGTCATCCATGATCATGAGCTGCAGTTTATCTTTTCCATAGCCCGAAGCGTTTAATTTGGGGCCCAGTGTTTGAAAGACAAAATCCCTCTGTTGGGCAGCGGTCATGCCAAGCGCATTGAAGGCAAAGTTCTCAATGGTTCCATCAAGTGGCTCGTTCTGCACTGTGATTCCCCAAAACTGAATGTCATGCTGCTTGTATGTGTCCAGGAATCTGCAAAAAATGATGCATTTGTTTTATCAACTTTAAAGTATCGTGATAACTGATTACTTGACAAAGTATTCAGCCCATGTTTTGTAGTAGATGCCAGTGGGATCGCCCTTCAGTTCTCCCTTTCCGTTAAGTTGATTGTTGGTTTTCATCCAAGCTGCAAATAACAATTTACAATTTGTAAAATTAGCTATCAATTTACCTGGCGGAGACCACGGCGAAGCGACCAGTTTAATTTCTGTAGTGGCTTCTTTTAGAGCTTGTTGAATATAAGGAATCTACTTTCCGGCAAAAAAAACTGTCACTAACAACAACGCGCCATGTTTCACTTTGTACCTTATATTGGATATCTTCCGGCTGAAGTTTCCAGTTTTCCAAGTCGAAATCCTCAACATCCGAATCATCGTAAGTGTACGCCCGTGTACTAAAGTCTGACCCTCCAATCGGCACTCTTCCCATTGAATATTTCAGTCCATTACCTCCGTAGTAATCTTTAATAATGTTCTTTCCCAGCTTCGCCGGCAACTTGTCGATGTTCAATCCGGCCGAATCACTGAAAGAACCCCCAAATCCAAAGAGTGTTTGAAACTTTTGGTCTCGCTCAATGGTAACGACAATGCCATCCCCAACGTCGAGGGTGTTCTTGCTGAACTGCAACTGTCCAGTGGCGAATCGATTCAGATCACGGTCACTCTGGTAGGTCGTCACGATGCCCGCCCTAGCCGGTGCCACATTGACAAAGGAATCACAGTAGGTGACATTGCACACACAAACGAAGCTGTCATGGCCATAGTTTCTCGGGACACAGCCCACTCCCGATTGCTGGGCTTCGACCGAGTCGGTTCGAAGCAGAACTGCAAGCACAATCGACAGACTGATTATCACTGATGGAGTTTTGATAATTCTATTAGTATTAGAAGTGTCGCTCAGTGACTTACCCAGTAAAACAATACAAATCAGCGAAATCCAGCGTTTCTTCATTTTGAACAGTAACAACAATAAATAATACTACAACTGAAGTACCGCAGCGAGATTTACCAAGTTTATTTATGCAGCAATGAGTGCGCTGATTAGATATAGGATATACTGAAATCGTAGAAGCGGCAAAGTTGAAAAAAAGTTGCTGAAGGCAGTCAGTGGGGATTTGAGACGCCTTTTAAGTAGGCAAGGTTCTCTACTCTATACCTTCACTCCTCTGGTCTGAGTCACACAAAGTACTGGGTCAAATTCTGTACTCTAAAAAGATATTAAATTCTTCTTATCAGCGTTACAGTTTAAATTTAAACGGCAATAGTTGCCTTGGCACAGCAATAAACTATGCTAAATTATGGTAATAGCCCAGTTAATGATAACAGATGCGCTACCGGCAGCAAATGGCTGCTGATGGCGCCAACGGTTTATGGGTGATTGCAAAAAAGCTTGTTTTAATTACAGGTGTCTTACTTACAGGTGCAAAGTCTTTTAGAATAGTCATTTTGGGCTATACAGAGCAATGTTATAAATACAAAAATACTAGTTTACAAAATAACAATAATACAAAATAGATAGTGGCAAAGGCGGAGTATTAACAGATCAACGGGATTTGTGGCACAGGCTTACAGAATCGCCCTTTTACCTTGTACTGCTGTGAAATTAGCAGTTTTTAGTTAGGTCAAGGTTAGACAGTTCAGTGGACGTTATTGCAATGTCAGGTATCATTTCACTTATTGTACGATGAGATTCAGTGCTAGAAAACTAAAACGAAGAGTTAAGTTTTATTTAAAATCACAACACAATGCAAACTTACTTGAGATTCCAGCTCATATCTAGAGGATGTTTCCAACTTCATTTCGCTTTGGTAACTAAACGGATCACAGTTGACTGAACTGTGCGAAGGCAGGGGAAAGCCAGAGGCAGGGCGAGGCGGTGGCGGTGGAAGGTTCATATCACATGGATCACTTCGACCACTGAAGGACACCGTGGTCGCACTGTCGTCAATGTCCGCTTGAGCAAGCTGTGCCTGGCGGTGAGTGGAAAAGTTGCGCAAATGCAGCACTTCGCAGGCAATGTCCGGCAGACCGAACTCGCGGACCACTCGAAGCTGAATAAGTCGCAGTGCCTGACACCGGTTGTGAGCCACCTTTAGTGCTCGTGCACAGAAGGGCGACGTCTTCAGCTCTTGTTCACGCTGACGCATCATCAGGAGGATGCGCTCCTCAATGATGGGCAAATTGGGTCGAGGCTTGTCTATTTCGTCGTAGCAGATGATCGATGAGCTGGACGATGAGGTAAAGCAAAAGTGAAAGTTTTCAACCGGTGACACGAGGTCCCCATCAGAGACGACACTAACGTCTCCGTTGCCGCTAAAGTTCGTTTTATCGACCATGTACAGTGCATCGGGTATCTGTGCGGGCAGGCAGCGTTTGTTGAGAATGGTAGTGAGACTGTCAAAGTTGTCATCGCTTTCAATACAGTGTCCAAGACGCTCTTCAAGTATCTGCTTGCATTCTTCAAAATAGGGCGAAAAGTAGCGTGGCCTAGTGAATGTACCACATTCAGAAGTGGCTCGATTGCGAAACCAGGCAGTGTGGAAGCGATTGCTTGCCAGTAAACTGTCATCACCCTCCAACGCAAAAGAAGGTAGTGCATCGGTGAAACCACGTTTGGCAATGTTGATGAGAAATTCAGAGTCAATGGGAAGGATATGGCCAATTCGTACAAGTGAGATAAGCTCAAAGATGAGCTCTTTCAGTTTTCCATCATCTGGCTCCTTTTTGCGCAAACTTTTTCTCGTCAAGCTATGAGAGAGCAAAATATTGAGCTCATCTTGTTGTTTGCTCAAAGTATGTTCACCCCACTTAAAAATTGCTTTTAGCAAATCCAGTTCGCTGGCTTCAAGGAAATCTGATTTTAAAGCTTCATGAAGGTGTGCATATTCGAGCTGGAAAAGTAGGGAAGACGATCCAATGACTGCTGAAAACTCCTCTTTCAGAAATGTCAACGCTTGCCGTTTCACCCATGGCGATCCGTGTGATTGTTCGCTCCATTTCAGTATTGGAATCAGTGTGTCAATGTTCAGTAGATCAATCATTAAGTCTTCACAGCTTTGTACAAGGTAGTCGATTTCCTGTTGAAAGTAAAAATTAGTAGTTTGAACAACTTTACCACATACAAATGCTTTACCAGAAAGCGGGCGATTTCATAGAGATCAAATATTTCTTTTACCAAAAAGAGCTGAGGATTGTCTTTGGAGCTGTTTGTACCGTGGCCTGAAGCGGAGCACTTGCAGACACATGACTGCACAAGGGTCATCAGATCGTCGGCGTCACGATACATAACGTGCAGGAGAGTTCGAGCAAACCGTCGAGGGATGATTGATTCATCGAGGACAATTTTGATGCGTTGATTCAGTGGGTTATCCTGCTTTAGGAGCGTATTACGGCGTTGCTGACGACTGATAACATTGCGGAAAAACCTCGATCGCGCAGATAGTATCGCTTGGTGGCAGCTGAAGGTGTCATTCTGCTCCAAAGTACAAGTGCACTTCTTTGCATTGAAATCCCGTAAATCATAGAATGGAAGAGAACTGTGCTCACTGGCAGTGTTTTGAAAGCACAAAGAAGCATCACTGTATATGCCAGTGTCCAGGAGGTACTTAAGATCGTGCGACAGGGCGTTTGGCACCCCACATTCCTGGCTGATTACCAGCAATGTTTTGTAGGAAGACGAGTTGCTCTGTGGATCATAGGAACCGGACAGTTCACCCGTGTAGAGGTATTTTAGCAGGTCGTTGAACAACTCAACGCGAAGTCCTTTGATATCCAACGTGACCGGCACCACACTGCCGATGGACTTTTTTCCCAGCAGTTCTCGAAAGTATGGACATCGGACGCTGATGATGGCCTTGTGGACGGGAAAGTCCACGCCTTTGTAGACCAGAGTTATGTCGGAGTTTTGCTTGTAGTCGTAAAGCTCGGCCAAGTCATTTCGGCAATCTGTGAAAACGATATCAAAAATATAAAAATCAAGGTAGTGATACTTGCTCAACTTACTTGAGGCAATTGGACGAGCACTTTCGGCGTGAATTGACAGTTCCTTAAGGAAAAAGGTCGCTTTGTACTCCTCATACAGCTGTGCCAGGTCGCGAGTGTTGATGAGATTGGCAAAGTCGCGAAAAACTGCTCCGTGGTTGTTTCCCTTCTTCAGTTTTGTTTTGATTTTTTGCTTCAATCTCTTCAACTTTTTATCCTTTTGCGAAAACATCAACCCAATCGAGTTAATGCTGGGCGATAGTTCACTGGAGAGAAATGCTCCATGCATGGCGCCGCCGTTTTGTGCGGTCGCCAGGTGAACTCCATCTGAAGCAAAGTGACAGTTCGAAGCCTTCGAAGATGTCTCCGGAAGGTGATGTCCGATGCTGATGGTGGAAGCGTTGGCACCCATCGTCAGTGGGTGTCAGGTCACAGGTCACACTTGGCGCAGTTCATCGTCGTCGGTTGTTGTTGCCTCTGCAGAATTGGCCTTTGTTGTAGGCACTGTACTGCCAGAGGCCAAATTCCGAAGACACGAGCAGTGCAGTGGCAGTGAAGGTGGAGGCGCCGTGGTCACTGACCACTGGCCACGGAGCACAGTCACAGATGCCTGCAATGGCAGTTGGGCAACACTGCTTCGAAGATTGTTGCGCTATTTCAACCAATTCTGGTCAGATGGTACCACTGGCGAGGTTCTGGCCACTCGTTTGTTTGCAAACACTGCCAGACACACATGTGAGTGGCTGGTGCCCAGTGCCTGGCGCTTCAAAGCATGTACCAATTTGTCAATTTGCATACACTCATCTTTGCCCGGGCATTCACCATGGACATCTTTGCAGAAATTGCCGACAAACTTGACGTGAAACGACTGGAGAAGATCAAGTTCAGTAAGGCCAGTGGATGCATCAGTTCAGGTATGGGGAGTGACTGTTAACAAATAATTATCTACATCTGGAATCATTACTCTTTCAGGTCAAGGCTACCATACTGAAAATGGCGACATCTTTGTCAAACACAACACAAAGTCAGAAGCTCTGCCAATGTTTTTCGGCGAATTGATCTCGCTTAAGGCGCTGAAATCAACTGCCACGATCGGTGTGCCTGAACCACTGTGTGTGGTTGAAGATCCAAAAAGTACTGGAGGCGCCATAGTGATGGAATACCTTGCGATGACGCCCATCACTGAATGGAAAATGTTTGGCTCTCAACTGGCTGACTTGCACTTGTTCAACAGCGTTCTGGAGAAGAAGAAAGACAAACTGTCATCATGGATTGGACGGCCTCCAAAGTCGGATGTGCCAGACGATGATCGAATCGTCTTTGAAAAAGAAGTAAAACTTCAACTCTCTGATGAGCAGGTGCACAGCAGCACGTACGTTGACCAGTTTGGTTTTGAAGGGCCCACTTACTGCGGAATGATTGAGCAAAACAACGATTGGCATGACAATTGGATCGAGTTCTATGCACGCAACAAACTTGACCTACAGATCCGCCTGTTGACCGATAATGTTGGCGATCNGAAGAAAGACAAACTGTCATCATGGATTGGACGGCCTCCAAAGTCGGATGTGCCAGACGATGATCGAATCGTCTTTGAAAAAGAAGTAAAACTTCAACTCTCTGATGAGCAGGTGCACAGCAGCACGTACGTTGACCAGTTTGGTTTTGAAGGGCCCACTTACTGCGGAATGATTGAGCAAAACAACGATTGGCATGACAATTGGATCGAGTTCTATGCACGCAACAAACTTGACCTACAGATCCGCCTGTTGACCGATAATGTTGGCGATCGTGAAGTAGTCGAATACTGGTCCGAGTTGCAGCTCATGTTGGATCGACTTTTCCGAGACATTCGCCATCCGATAAAGCCTGCTCTTTTGCACGGCGACCTCTGGTCGGGCAATGCATCTCAGGTGGACGGCCGCCCAGTCATATACGACCCTGCCTGCTTTTATGGTCATTCCGAGTTTGAGCTCTCCATTGCGATGCTTTTCGGTGGCTTTGATTCAGCCTTCTTCGATGAGTACTTTTCCAAAATTCCCAAGGAAAAAGGATTTGAACTGTAAGTACATATTACCCTTTTAATAATCTAAAAATCACACAAATTATAACATATTTTAACTTTTGCAGGAGAACCGATTTATATAAGCTCTTTCATACACTGAATCACTGGAATCACTTTGGAAGCCACAAGCGGCAGACAAAAGATTTGATGAAGAAGCTCATTAAGAATTGTAAACTATGATTATGCGAATACATGTGTTAATCTGTAAGGGGGGCATAAATTGATATTAAAATCTAAAGTCTAATAGTCTTTTGTCTAAAGAAGAAAAAACTTGGCGCTTAGGGCAATGTGGTCGGAGCCTAAAACAGAATTTGGAAAGGTACCAATGGTGTTGAGGTTCCGTTTGGTCAGCAGCTGTCGAAAGGCTGAAAGTCTGAGGTTTTCGTGCTTGAAACTGTAGAAAATGTGGTCCACAAAGCCAATGTCGAGGTAAGTAGACATGGAGTAAAACTTTTTGCCAAATTCATCTATTGCAGGGTATGCCGAAGCCAGCTTGAACACATGCTCAATTGCCAGGTTTTGCACACTAAAGTCAGCGGAGGTGGATGCCACTGCGTCGCAATTGTAGATTCCGCTCTGTTGTTTATAGCAGGAGTTTGTGCCGATTCCTCTAAGCATTAGCTCTCGATGAAGCAGCTCTCGGCCGCGTTGAATGCCTTCTCTCTGACCGGAAATGTCACCGCTCAAAAGGCCATTGAAGTTAGCCCGGCCATCCTTGATAAATCGAATTAGCGGACTGGACGGCTCGCTGTTCATGTCGCCGCAAAAGATAATTGGAGAATACTTTAGCTTGAAAGGGTCGAGTTGCGGCCTGTTAGCACTGGTAGACAGGCACTGTTCCGTACGTGCAAACTGTTGAATTTCAGCGAGTAGCAACCGGAGTTGTGCAATTTTGATGTCGCCTCTCTTTGGGTTGAAAAGTAAATGAGTGTTTGCGATAACGAGGTCCGTGTCCGTGCTTTTGTTGTTAAAGCCAATAGGATTCAATTTAACCAGCAAAGCGACATTGTCTTTGTCAAGCAAGTTTGATATGTCTCTGCGATTGAACTCAACTTCCCGTGAGTCTTTGAAAATGAATTTGTCCCTTTTAAAGAGAATCGAGCAGCCATCCTGAGAGGGACCAGTTTTTTGCTTGAACACTGCCTGGTAGCCCCGCTCGATTAGGGACGGCAAAATGTGCGACTTGAAGTTTTCCATATGTACCTCTTGAAGGCAAAAGATGTCAGAGTTCATCTCTAGCAGTTCCTTCTTAAGCCTTTCAGCCCGATGTGACCACATGAGGTTCGATTTAATGTTATCTTGGTAGAGGTACAAGTGGTTCAGCAAGAGATTCTGCGAAAGAATGTTGTAAGTGGTCAAGGAGAACTGGCCTTTCGGACTATCATAGCTTTGGGGATTCCACACTTTTATCCACTTGCGACACTTGTTTATGTAATTGTACAGTTGTACTGAATAGGGAAATTTTATGTGATAAAAATAAAGGATACTGCAATGACGGGTGTTATACCTGGATTATCAAGTCGCATTAGGTCTCGAGGTTCAGTTGATCGGCTTCGGTCGTTTTGATATCGGTAGTCGTGCTGATAANGCAATGACGGGTGTTATACCTGGATTATCAAGTCGCATTAGGTCTCGAGGTTCAGTTGATCGGCTTCGGTCGTTTTGATATCGGTAATCGTGTTGATAGGGCACAGAGCATAAGCAATGTACTCGATCCAGTAATTGGTTCTGGTCAGAAGGATTGCATCTCAAGCAAACAGGAGAATCTTCTGGCGAGTACGGCGTTGAAATTTGGTTAACGACTGTTCCTAGGTATTCAACTGAATCTTCACTGCTTTCCGCCGTTTCCTTCGAACCGAGTCCTCCGCTGCAGTTGTCTAACATTACACTACGCCTATATTTAGAGTGCAAAGGCAGAATGTATTTTTAGATTTAAAGAAAGCCTTATGGCAAGCGACACTTACCTTGAGAAGGACTATCAAAGAGCAGATGCACAACTCTGTAGAGTGTGTTGCCGGTCGATTATAATCTCTTGTTTAAAAAATCTACATTATGCAACGGAGTAGTACCGTTTGGTAACGAGTTAGAAATTAAACACCAAATCGGGTTAATTTGGTAGCAAACTTGAGAAAAATATTAGGCAAACGATTTTTATCTGCTTACCAAAATACATGAAAATTCTCAGCACAAAGTTGAGCTAGGCAGGTATGGATGCTGTGGATGCTGTGAATCCTGGCGAATGAAGCTGGACGCTGGCTAACCAAGGCAACCAGAAAATTGGCTTTGCGGCTTCACTTGTCTAACGCCAAACAGCAAATGATGATGAAACTAACAAAAATACTGCATAAATATCACAACAAATGTCACGTTTTCTTTGAACGTGAGCTTTTTTAAAAATTTTCCGTTTAAAAATTGTTTTGATTTTTATATCAATTTAAAAATACTTGTAGAATTTTAGAATCAGCGTCTTTGACAACAATCAAATAACTTATAACAAGAAAAGTAAAAAATATTCAAAAATGCATTCTTTGGCGGATAACAACAGTTGGTCGTCTTTTCTTGGAGTTTGCGAGCCAAATTCACTAACGTTTATCAAGGAACCACTTCCAACAAATGGTAAGTTCTAATGATTTCTTTTTATGTTTCTTTTTATATAGTCATGTATTTGCAGAAAAAACCCAACAGGAAAATGAGATAAACAGCTTCAAAAGCGCAAGCCAAGTTGTTGACATTGATTTGATTGATTGCCTTGAAATATCGTCAATGTGTGACCTAGGCAACGATATATCGGCGATTGACTCGTACTTCCGCAAAAGGTCCTCGTCACTAGAGAACTTGGATTTTATGTCAAAACCAAAAACCAAACTCCCCATTCTTTATGAGAACGGCACTTCACCTTGCGGAGCTGCTTGGCTTCAAAATCAGGAAGAAGTTCTGTTGGGAAAGTCCGTATCAGTTGGCAATCTCACTTCTGCTTCTACCAGAGCGTCCCATCATCAAAGTCGCGACATTATTCAACGTCATTCCGTTCATTTTACTACCACCCGTTGTTCGCCATTTAGCTTTGATTTCTTCCATATTCGAAACTTAAATGAGCGTGCAGTAATGCTTTCTATACAATTTGTCATCGACAAAAGACTGCCATCCTCTTTGACGGTACATGAGGACAAATTACAATGTCTAGCTGGTGATAGTATACGGTCGACAAATATGGCGACGTTCATTCCATTAGCGACTGGCGCCTACACGATTACAATTTTTGTTGTTCCATTGTGGAAGAAACGAGGAGACGACAGTTGCCATCAAAATACCTTCCCTTCCTCCGCCTCGGCTATTGTTGTGCGCTGTCATTTGAATGTAATCGATGTGCCCATCGGTAGACCATTGACAATTTTAAATGGCTCGACGGTAATCAAATTGAGCTCTTTCATCGGCCTATCAACGCGCTCTGATGTTCTTTTTCAATTGTCACCGGAGCGCCAGCAATGCTCACAAATGCATCAGNGACAATTTTAAATGGTTCAACGGTAATCAAATTGAGCTCTTTCATCGGCCTATCGACGCGCTCCGATGTTCTTTTTCAATTGTCACCGGAGCACCAGCAATGCTCACAAATGCATCAAAATCTGCGGCCGTACACACTTCTGTTTGAGCTGAGTGGGCACTCAGAATTGATTACCTTCTCAAGCACTGCACCACACATGCCCACTGCAATGAAGTGGCGCTTTGTCAATTTGTGGACATGTTCTATTACATTCCGTCAGCCAAGCGACTTTGTCCTGCCGATGCAAATGAAGTGCACCGCCAATACCGATTCTACACCGGTGGTGCTTTCCATCAGCACGGCAAACGATTGTGGCAAGGCACTTCACACAGTGCAAAATTACCAAATTACTCTAAATGCCTACCCAACGGTTAGCGCAAGTGCTCCTGCAGGAGGGGCTGGTCTTCTGGACTTGATTTATTAGTTGTACTCTTTTCTTCCATTTAGGCACCGCTGAACCGCTCGCTCATTCAGGCCTCCACCGAAGGCACGGAACTAACCGCCGACCAGTGGAAGCGAATTGATTTACGCAACAAAGATCCAACTCGATTGGTACACGTGAAGATCAGTGCCACACTGGCTGACGAGGAAGTGAAGTGGCCGTGTTGGCAGTGCACGGCCGCCGAACTGACGCTGCCGCCACTCGCCAAGACGACAATCGGCGTCTACGTCAGCAGGAGAGCTTTAGCCGAGGCCACACTGGCAAATGATGGCGGCAGAGCTGCCGTGTTGAAGCTTAATGTACAGCAATCTGCCGGTGAGGGCACTCGATTGACTTCGGTGCTGCCGCTGCGAGCCATCTGTATCCCGTAGAGTAGATTTCACCGCCGGTGCACACCACTCTGTTCACACTCACACACAAACACTTCCCTTTCGAGTTTATTGTCTCGTAATGGCTCGTATTACAGCATGTCTACTTGCGGTACAATAACAACAACATCAGCAGTTGTAACAACTGATGGGCTATGCTCAACAAATGTGTTAGAATTTAGGGAGAATAAATTGCTAGTCAGTAGCGATCGGCTTCTGACGACCGCTGTCTTCCACTGCCACTGTGTCAGTGCCAGCATCATTCCCAAGATGGTTCACACGCGCACCACCAGCACATCACTGCGGCGAAATAATTGTTGTATTTATTTTGGACAATAACATTTGTTATAAAAATAGAACTTTCTACTACGGTAACACTTGCAACATAGATCAGTCAGCTTTGTCGAACAGTGGTGGTGGTGAAATGTCGGCGGCTTGTGGTTCGCCTTGGCCGCGAGGATAAAGATTTGCATCGATTCGGCCGTGCACTGCAGCCCCAAACACAGGAGTAGGGCACAGAGGAGAGAGAGAGAGAGAGAGTGTGTGTCGAACTGACTGCACAAGACAAAGTGTGTGTGTGTGTGTTTGGTAACAATCCCAAGTAGTAAGGACAATAAGGCCATGTTTGTGTACACATTGCTTGGCAGAGCCAGTGGTCACTACTGCTGCTCTGTTTCAGGCCCCTTCAGCTCAGTTATTGCCAGTCACCCAACAGCGCCAATGTGTAGGAGTCCTTCTAATGAAGCCCTTTTTTGCGGAGCCATTTGGGGGCTTACTATTTGCGTTAGTGACAATGAAATCGCCACCACCGGCAAGAGCCGCCGTCATCAAAGTACTTCGAAGACAAACAAGAGCAAAATGGGCTGCACTTAACGGCAATGGGAAGACAGGGCAGTGGAGACACTGGAGGCTGCTTCACGATGCCACTAATGGGTAAGTGGACTTACTGCAGAATGGACAGGCAGCAATTGCAGGGCTAAGTGCAGCTGAAGAAGCAGCAGCAGCAACAACAACAGCAGCTCTGTCGACGATTCTTCGGGAGGGGAACTCTCTGTGCCAGTCTCTGTGCCCTAGTGCTGCAGTACAGTACTGTCCTACTGGCTGATGGTGCTTGCACACTGAGGCCTTTGAAACTTGCTTAAACATTCTCTCTTATATCACACTGAATACGGTTCACTGTAGGCAGACGGTTCGCAAACTCGGTTCGAAAGCTACAAGTCTGATGCAGACTGACCCATTCTGTCCTGTTGAGGGAACCGATTTACCGAAGGGACTATGTACAAATGGTCGTAACGAACAGTGGGTCAGTGGGGAAGGGGTAAGGTACGGGTAAGGGGAAGGAGTGCTCTGGGTGGTGGCTGTTCGCAGTGCACATGGAGACACTCTCCGAGTGACTAGTAGGGAGGGAGAGCCTGCGCAGACGGTCAGGCAGTGGCTGAAAAATACAAGAAAGGAAAGAGAGAAAGGAAATAAAAGAAAACACCTAACAGTTGGCATGCACAGCAGAGGAACATTTGAAGAGGAAGGAAGAGGAGAGGAAATAAATAGAAATGACTATAGTACAGACGGAAAAGGAAAGGGAAACGAGCGAACGAGTTATTTACGAAATGACGAGCGAATGAGGCGACCAATGAAGGAGGGAGTGGTGAAGAGGTCGGCCGTCCGATGAGTTTTGTGAGCACTTTGACAATCAATCAATGAATACCCGATCATCAGTCCGAAAAAAAGAACAAAGGGAGAAAGAGAGAGAAATTTCACACCACCAAATCGTGAATCGAGTAAGCGGGATGACTGACTTCTTTGCAGTTGAAGAGAGCACGCTTGGAACAGTTGACGGCAGATGGATGATACAGCGGTCATCGTAATAAAGAGAGAGAACTAAGAAGTAAGAGCACACGGTTGCACACACTTGCATGATTGGCACCAGTTGGCACGAGTCGTCGGACCGACCGTCTCTCCATGCCATTCTTTGGCCAGTCTTCTGCAGATGCCTTCAGAGAAGAAGCTTAGAATCCAGGGATAATTTGGTACGCTTCCAGGCTGGACATGATCAGGTAGAAGAACCACAGGCAGACGAAGAGAATGGTGGTCGCCAGGCGACTCCTAAGCGGTCCTCCCAGTTCGCCGCCCAGTCGCCGGCGGAAGAGGAGGACGGCGCAGCAGATGAAGGCGCAGATGCAGAAGAGTGTCACCGAGTAGGTGAGACTGCCCGGGTCAATGGTGAACTGCTCACCGCGANACAGGCAGACGAAGAGAATGGTGGTCGCCAGGCGACTCCTAAGCGGCCCGCCCAGTTCGCCGCCCAGTCGCCGGCGGAAGAGGAGGACAGCGCAGCAGATGAAGGCGCAGATGCAGAAGAGTGTCACCGAGTAGGTGAGACTGCCCGGGTCAATGGTGAACTGCTCACCGCGGGTCCAGCGGACGATGGCGGCCAGTGTCCAGGCGATGCCGATGCCCAGGAAGACGTTCACTGCATTGCTGCCGGTGACGTTGCCGATGGAGCTGTCGGCGTACTTGTCATTTTGAGCGGCCACCTTGCTGGCGAATGTGTCTGGTTGTGGTGGCAGGAAGTGGACAAAGTAATGGCAAAAGTACCCCGTCAATTAAGTGTGTCATTGCCTGACTCGCTGCTTTAATTGAGTCGTTTGCTGAAACTGGGANGGTCCAGCGGACGATGGCGGCCAGTGTCCAGGCGATGCCGATGCCCAGGAAGACGTTCACTGCATTGCTGCCGGTGACGTTGCCGATGGAGCTGTCGGCGTACTTGTCATTTTGAGCGGCCACCTTGCTGGCGAATGTGTCTGGTTGTGGTGGTGGGAAGTGGACAAAGTAATGGCAAAAGTGCCCCGTCAATTAAGTGTGTCATTGCCTGACTCGCTGCTTTAATTGAGTCGTTTGCTGAAACTGGGGGCAAAAACCACTGCCACTTACCAGGAACGCTAGTACCAAGGGCAACGAAAGAGATGGCCGTCACGGAGTCTTTGATTCCGCTGGTGCAGCCAAAGTGGGAGGCCAGATCGCCAATGACGGCGGTGATTGCACCGATGACGACGATTGAGGTAATGAAACACAACCAGCCATTCATGTAGTCTGACAAATGGAAAGCATGGCGGTGATGGTTGAGTTGTAGAGAAAACATTATTAGCAAATCATTAGGCAGAAATGGAGCCCCACCCCTGCCTCCACATCATCCTCTGACTCAGTGACTAACCTGTCGGTGGCACGAAAGCAAAGAGCAACTTCCAGAACAGGGTAAAGAAGTGCATCACATAGTCGGAACAGGATGGAACGCGATCCGCCTCTTCGCCGTCGTCGTCCTCCTCGTCGCCTAAATGGCCCAATCAGAAAGTGCGCCTAATGAGAATCGATCGATTACAACTGCGTGGCGCCCTGTCCTACCTGCTGAAACGGTGATTGCTTCAATGAATTGCTCCTTCCACGACCCGCTGCCCATCATAATTGAGGTGTTCGCTTTGGAAATCAGTTTATCGACCATGTTCTGGGCACGCAAGGTAGCAACATGAGTAAGGTAAGTGAATCTTTCTACGGCTACGGCGGCACTTCACTCCTTTGCAAATCTTACCTTGAATTCCTTGCTCTCCTTGATGCGCACCGCACATTTGTACAGCTCGCCTAGTTTTGGCTTTCCGAGAAGAGCAATCTCATCAGAGCTCGTTAGTGTTTGTGCCTCTGTGTCGGCGGCTTCGTTGTTTAGGTCTAGGTTGGAACATTATATACAGACCAGTTAATGCTGCCTCACATTGTGAGCCTCTTCATGCCACTAAATCACTTACCCTCTTCTCGGATGGGCTCACCGAGTTCCACGTAGAAGGTGGCGTCTTTTTCGTAGCTTTCATTGTCAATAATATGTATAGGAATATATTGTCTGGAGAAAAATGTGAGTGAGTGGGGCAAAGAGAAAAAATAAGGAAAGAAAAGAAGAAAATGATGGGCACGTACGAAGTCTCGTTGTCATCAAAGAGAATCTGTCCTGAAGTCATCTCAAATTCAGTTCCATCTCTTGCGGTACCCTCAATTGTCTTGTAAGGCAATACGACGCGCCCTCGAGCGCCACTGAAACGGCACACCTTCAGCTGGTACTCGCCACTGGACTCGGCAATCTCGTACTGCCCATCGGCAAATGAGAACACCCCAGAGTGGTCATCATCGAGGATCATCACAGTGGCAACTGCCGGCGTGCTCAGCTGCAGTTTGGGTAAGTTCTTCACCATATTGCTGAGGTTGCCATTGCTCGAGTCGGAGCTGAGGTACCTTGGATTGCTTAGCAGAACGTAGAAGTGCTCGTCCTCTTCAAAGACATCATCATCGATGACATTAATGAGCACCTGTAGGTATTGATGGAGTATAGATAATGGTTGCGTCATCGCATTAGTGCATTAGTACAGCCAAGACAGCCCACTCACCTGCTTGTGCGCCTCTCCACTTCGGAAGATGAGCGTCCCCTCGACTGCCTCGTAGTCACTTCCTGCCTCAGCAGTGCCGTCCTCCGTCTTGAAGTCAACGCAGACTGAGTGGCTGAGATCGCCCTCTCTGGTAACCGTAACCGCAAACTGGCCCACATTCTCCATTACCGTGTAGTGTCCGGGGTTGAAGAAAATCTTAATCAAATTTTCGTCCTTTTTGCTCGTCTTCACTTCGTCCTCGACCCGTTCGACGCGCCGTTTACTGAGGATGTTACCGCCTGTCAGCTTCTTCGTGGCCTAGTGAGAAAAGTGGTTGTCGGGTAAGTGATACAGCAAGGCACAGTGCCGGGAACAGTGGTTTGCTCACTCAAGCAGGCCAGTGCATCGGCAGCAGAGCGGTGGCGTGTTGAAGCGAGAATGCAAACAGCAATTTATTGTTCTCCCCATTATTCTACTCTCTGACCGTCTGTTTGTACGGCGCACTGAGGAGTCCTGACAATGCGGGCTAGCATTTCCGCTTCACAACTTAACACTAGGCTGGCCTAGGCAGAACTGAATGAATGCCAAGTCAGGCAGAGAAGTGTCAGCTTGCCTATTTTTTCCTTCGTTGGCCCGTCTAACTTGTGAAACCTAAACGCGCCTGAACGCCTGCGAGGAATTTGAGCTCTGCTGAAAAGGTTTCATTACCACAACGAACGCCCAGGCAACCTAATTAGCCGCTCTCACTGGCCACAACCTAGCTCAAGGTTAGGTGGTGCGAGAGGAAAGCAGGCTCAATTGTTAGCCTGAGCAAAAAGTAATGTCTAAGGGACAGATCGATTGACAGCAGCATGCTTTGCTGTACTGTTCCATTTCTTCTTTTTGTTTTTGCCATTTTTCTCCTCGCAGGCCGCAGAGGCCGCTTTTAGTTGAGTTATCACTTTGCCTGCGACTGTCAAGCAGCTGCCAAGACAAGCAGTTTCCCTGGGCTCCACCAAAGGAAACACTAAACTTCCCCTCCCCTTTTCCTTCAGCTGATGCCACTGACAATTCCCCAAGCGCACACTTACTTGCAGGCGGTAGAATGCACGACTTTTCGGACCGCGGTTCATGATTTCATTTCGGGCGAGCACTTCAATCTCTGCCATTGACGCCGATGGGTTCTTCTTGCGGATTTCCCGCAGCACGCTAATGTACTCTCGTCGGTGCTCTTCAAACTCCTTAGCCTCTTCATCTGTTTCCTCGAACACTTTAAAGCCGTTATCGTTGACGTGATTCATCTTTGCCGTCGCCAGCTCTACATCTTCGCCCTCAGCGCCGACGATGACGCCGTGCTTGTTCATGCGGTACTTCTTGGAGAGGTACTTGTAGATGAGCAGCCGGCGATCGGCAATGTAGGCCGTCAGCACGGTCGCCGGAAACATCAAAAAGGTGACCGTACCTTCCCAGATATCAATGACGCCGCGCGACGACCACGTGAGGATGAAGCACAGCCAAATGTAGGCAAAGACTGACCAGATCATGGTGACGAAAAAGACGCGTAAGTGCTTAATCTTCTTGTAATCATCAACGCTCCAAACGCAAATGGCAATGATGACGAACATGTTGAAGGCGGCAGAGCCGACGATGGTGGACGGACCGAGATCGCCAGCGTGCCAGTCCTGCGCAATCACCTCGATGATGGACAGTAGAATTTCCGGCGCCGAGGAGCCGAGGGCCATCAGCGTCAGGTTAGAGACGGTCTCGTTCCACACTCGCACACTAATCACCTGAGGCTCTGCATTGGGCTTCTTAATGGTTATCGTTCTCTCCTGCGAGGTGATCACCTCAATGGCAGCCATAAACTTGTCAGCGATGATACTGACGCCGACAAACATGTACACTAGGAGGACAAAGTAGACAACGCCTCGAGCGATAATGTCGCCCAGTGCCAGGTTTGTGGTCGGCTCCCAGACGGGCAGCAGGAGGCCAGGTTTACAGGAAATGGATCCCGGTTCAAGATGGTCGGTTGTGCTGTTGTGGCTGCTCAGGACTGTGCCCAGTTGGCAGTACAGGGTGTACGCACCCAAGAGGTAAAGCTCCATGGTTGTTGGTGCAGTTGTGCTTTAGTGCGCTTGGCTTGGGGTGCAGAAGATTGAGAAAGAGGATGAAAAAGGATGAGTGAGGAGAAGGAAAAAGAAGAGAGAAGGTATAAGAAAGACGGAAATGAGACTTTGGAGACGTAAAAGCAGTAACGGCAAAAAACGTGACTGGATTGGCTGAATAGGTGATGCTGATGAAAGNCATGGTTGTTGGTGCAGTTGTGCTTTAGTGCGCTTGGCTTGGGGTGCAGAAGATTGAGAAAGAGGATGAAAAAGGATGAGTGAGGAGAAGGAAAAAGAAGGGAGAAGGTATAAGAAAGACGGAAATGAGACTTTGGAGACGTAAAAGCAGTAACGGCAAAAAAACGTGACTGGATTGGCTGAATAGGTGATGCTGATGAAAGAGGATAAGAGGCACAAGGCAGACACGGTCGATCGATGGTTGTAGATCAATTCGGTTTTTGGTGATTAAGTGCAATTGGCATTCTCTGCCAAGAGCTGAATGAGCAAGGGCAAAAAGCACATTTTAAATAAAAACGGACAGTAAGGATGAAGAGAGGATGAAGAAGTGAGGTGATAAAGAGTGCAGCACTACAGCCGTTGCCGGCGAGGGACCGCGATCAGGTCAGTTGGTAATTGGAGATCGACGTGCATCCTTGCATCAGTGTGCAGCTGCACTGACTGGAGCCGTCCTGGCACTGTTCGCCCCGCACAAAGCCCACAGTGTCGCCGCGTCTCGCTGGTGCGGATAATTGCCCTTTCTGCAGTCTTCTGCAGCCCTCGTCTGGCGTCGTCGCTCTTCGCGGGCAGTCCAAGTCAGGCGGCGACAAACCGACGGTGTTCTGCACTGCCTCGGTGTCTGCTCGAGGTTCCGCTTGTCAGAGAAAGGCTCAACTGCTGCTGAGGCTTCACTCGACAGCAGCTCGTCGGATGATCCCGTAGGATCGGTTGCGGCAATGGCGACGACGACGGCGGCTGCGGTGGTGGTGGTGGCAGACTGCGACTGCTGATATCACTGACACATACAGATGTGATTAAAGTCGGCGGTGATTCGAACGATGCTTTACTGCCACTGGTGGTCGAACTGATGCTGCTCGTAGTTCTGCTCTTTCCTCGGTGGTGGTTGCTGCTGTTGATGCTGCTGCTGCTGCTGCTGCTGAACACGAGCGACGAGAGGTGAGAATGAAAGAGGCTGATGAGCGAAATGACTTGAAGCAGCATCAACAGCAACACTGAGAGGGCTGCCAGCCAGCTTCAGTGATGCACCCAAAGAGTGGAGAGTTGTGAAAAGGAAGACGCGAAGACAAAGGAATGGAAATCTATGTCAATGGGAGAGATGCCGCAAGAAGCGCCAATGTGCAGATCGGCGGGGCCGCCGTCCTGGTGGTGGTGGTGGTGGTGGTGGTGATAGTGGCACTGCAAGTTGAAGTTCCTCGGCAGCAGCGAAGCCCCTTTGGCGCACAATGGCTCCGTATTATTCTTGGCTTGCTATTTTAATCGTCTCACTGTCTCACACTGCACAGTCACTTTGCTCGGTGGCTCAGTTGCAGCTGTAAAGGCTGAGCCACAGGAGCTGCCGAGTCTTCCGTCTGCCACTGCTCACTTGTCGAATGGCACTGGCAGACGACCTGAGGAAGCTGCTTCAGCTCACTGGCCAATGAAGTCGGCAGTTGGCACGGCAGTTTGCCACTTCGATATTAATTTATCAACAGTCAAACTGTTTATAGATTAAGTGCCCAGACAAACAATGGAGAAAGCGGAAAATTGGAGACATTCACACTGTCGAGAGGGACTTGCATGCGACAATCGTTCAAATACCGCCAAAGATGAAAGTGGAGAGAGAGAGAGAGAGAGAGCTGTTGTGGAATGAAGCGGTGCAATGTGGAAGTTGTATGCAATGTTCGGCGCAAAAGATGTCTGTTACTGCTTGCTGAGCAGTGAAGTGAAAGAGGCAAGGAAGGAAAGTTGTAGAAATGCAAACACTTTAATTGTCAGAATTGTCGAGCATAAATTCAGAGCAGATTAAAGACAGGGTAACTGGAGACTATAAACGGCGGTACACAGGGGAGCACCAAAGTACTGAAAAGTCGGAGGACGACACAGCGTTGAGACAGTAAATAAAAGAGCGGTAATTTGCACAAAAGCTGGCCAAGAATAAGAGGAAGAAGTAAACGAAGCGGGTGACATGTGCAGACTCGCCTCAGTGCTTACTGGCACTGCCGAATGGCCGCTGGTAAAGACATTCAACACTGCTCAATGCTGAATGGAGCTCACTTTGGCCTGGTGCATCTCATTTCACTTTCATTCTAGAATGCCTTCATATGAAATATATTCGCTCTGTTTGGTAAAATATATTTTCTCTCTTATATACAAAACAAATGCATTAAAAGGTCATCCAGTGCCAGTTTTTTGGTTATGTCTGCACTTTGTTTTTTTCCGGCTCTAGTGTTGGCTACTATTAATAATTAGCCGTTGTGGTGACTGCAATTTGCAACTGCCAATTGCAGACAACTCTTTTGGTCGGTGGAGAGTGCCACTGATGTTGACGACGCTGCTAAAATTTAGCATTTACCCAGCAAGCAGTTTTTTTTGTAGATGACACAGACGTGCACACTGAGGGCCAATTTTGGTGAGGCACTGTGTCAGCTAGCCGTCACCTTGAAAGCCTTTGAGTTTCAGCCATCCTTTCCGACAGCATCTCCGTAGGCAAGCACCACTGCCTTTTATTCGAAACAATTGAGCTCGCGGTGAGTGCTTGCTGAGCTAAGCAGCTGCTGTGAATTCGGCAATTCGATCGAGCGTTTAGCTTCTCGGCGGCTTCTCCTCTTTGCAATGGTATACTACCAAACACGGCACCGATGAGGTTTTATTGCTCGCAAATATAAACACTAGACACCGACTATAAATTGAAGTAGGCACTGAGCGGCTGCAGACAGAGAATGAGAGTGAGTGAAAGTGAATCAAAGAGAAGCTAAGATCGCCTGAGAAGATGGCACGAATCGCTTCTTCTTCACTTCATTGTCTGTCCTGGTGATCGACTTGGAGAGATCGCCTGTCGATTGTTGTCGAGTAAGAGAAGAAGTGCTTTGGGTGCTGCTGCCGTTACTGGTGTTAGAGCACTGGTGAATGAATTATGCAGACGAGTGCCGAAGTAAGCAAAAGTCAAAGTGACTGTGATTGACTGGAAAGACGAAGAAGTAGAAGAGAAAGAAGTCGACTGCTGGGTGGCCAGAAATTAGTAGACATTCAGCAGTACACTGAGTGCACTGATTTTCAAATTAGCACTGAAGCACTGGGTGAAAAACGGTAATGATGGCAGTAGGACCACTTGAGCACTAGGGGCTCTTCTCTGGTCAGTTAATTGGCACAATTGTCGCACTTGCACTTGCTGTTGTTGTTGACATTGGCGCCTTCCTCGGGTAATCGCATGCACCGCAAGTTGACGCGACGCTTGCCACTCGGGCAAATGTGTGGTTGTGGTTGTATGTGCTGGTGCCCACGAGGGAAAGGTCGAAGCCGACGACGACGACAACGACGATGCGCGCATTAGGCAGCTGTACACATTGCCGTACAGCTCACGAGTTAGCCGTCAGGCGTGTGCAGGCTCAGAAGCTGCTGATCTCTCACTCCAAGTGGCATCACTTTCATTGCGAGGGAAACGCTTTCTGAAGAAGTGGAGGAAGAAGAAGAAGAAGAAGGAGAAGGAGAAGGAGAAGAAGTGAACGTCGAAGCACATGCTATCAGCAACGACGGCAGCATTAAGGAAGGAAAGCAGCGTCAGGAAGGAATAGCTGAGGAAGGCGCTCGAATTTAGCGTGCCCGCGACACTGCCAGCAATTGCAGCAATTTCGGTGCCGTCTGGTGGCGGTCCAATGGCAGTGTCAGCAGCAGTGCCCGTCGTCTTAGCGAACCCGCCACTGACTGAATCTATGCTGTGCCTGTGAGTGAGTGTGTCTGTGCGAGTATGCGGCAGCAGCCACAACCGCTGAATGCCTGTGACCGAGTGAGGCAAATGAAACAAATTTAGCGCAAGGCAACTGGCGTTGGCAAATGCTTGCCGAAGCGACCGGGCGATGTCGAAGTGCAAAACATCGGCGACCAGTGAAATTCTTCTCCTCTCCTCTCCTCTTCTTCCCCTGCCGTTGCAGGGAACACAGTGGCAGTCGCCAATTCGTGCACTGAGTAGCAAGTGAGCGTAGCCGACGACGGCGACGGCGACGACGACGATGACGGACTGAAGCATGCGCCGACAATGTTGCTCTTGAAACGAAACGGGAAGCAGTGCGAAAATGAGCCAAATCAAGCGCCCAGCCAGAGCTCGAAGCGTCACCACCACCACCACCACCGAATGGCGCCCACTGCTCCTTTTCCTTCTCCTTTGCCTCTTCCCCCCACCTCCTCCTCCTCCTCCTCCTCCTCCTCTTCTTCTGTCAGGCTATATGCATCGCTTCGACGCTGAATATAGCAGTGCCCATTCAATTAGCAGGCGATATGGCATTAGTGCAACTCTCTTAGCCACTGAGCGGATTACAGCACAGGCCGATGAAGACTGTCAGGAAGAGAAAAAGAGAATTGGTAGAAGAGAGAACGCCAGAGAGCCCAGACTCGGCCAGTGGGTCGAACAGCAGAATCAGCAGCAGCAGCAGCCGATCCGATGGCTGTTCATTGGCAAGTGGTCTCGCTTAAGCAGCGACAGTCTTGTCAGTGGTTCCCTTCCTTGTCTATATGGCAACAAAGTCTGTACTGTGTGCACTGACATTGAAGGCAATTCTCAACCACTGACTCTACCCTTTGTCTCCTTCAGCACTCTTTCGGCGGCACACTGTCGCCATGTGTCCTCTTTGGCGGGCAAGATTTACGGTAAAGGCTTTGGCGCCAAAGCAGTCGGTGTGATTTGTCAGACACACACACAGCGCTAATTTACCGTTTTTACAGAATCGCCTTTTATTGATCAACTTAATGGCTTTCCTGTGCTCACTGGCTTACCACTAGTCTCACTGTGG